ACACCAAACATTTTGAGGGCAATCTTCCCACCATGCAACGTGCCTTCCTCGATTTCGATCTGCTGGAACCGCAAGGGATCTATGTCTGCGTTAAAGTCCTCCAGACTCGGTCTCTCCCACTGTTGGTCTTTCTCCGAATTGTTCTCTTTCAAGCCTGCAATGTCCTGTGTCATCTTCTCGAGGACTTCGGTCTCAAACTGGCTCTTGGGCTGGGACGAGCCCAGCTTTGATTTGAACCCATTTGGGCCGGGCTGTGACGAGCGGAAGGAGACATTGGGCCCGTTGCCGTTGAGTTTCCTCTTCTTTGCCGTTGGCGGAGACTTGAGGGAATTGTGGGTGTTTGTCGTGTCCGTCAAAACCCTCTTCTTGGGCTGGTCGGCCACACGTCCAGACATGTTCAACGATCTTGTCGCCAAAGAAAGGATCGTAGCTGAAGGAGAAAGGCGATGGACGCCGTCGTGGTGGTGGTGGAGGTGGGAGGGCAATCGTGGAGATGAGTTATCAATCATTCGAGCAGCGAGCTGGTGACGTGAACGCGACGCGCTTTCCTCCTTCTGATCTAGCGCGATATTCTGGGGCCAGACCGCCTTTGCCCTTCAGTGGTTTGGGCTCCAGCCTCAGCTCAGCATTGAAACGGTTTCAAATGTCCTGCCCCTCCAAACACTTCTCACTCACTTTTCAGTCGCCCATGCTTCCAAAGAACGCATTGTCGCAGTACTGAGGACTCTCGACGACAACAACTTTTGCAACCAGGAAAGCCGTACAAACAACATCGTCTAATATCAGCAAACATGGCGGACGATCTGCAAGCCGACCAGACACCAGGGTTTAAGGTGGGGGAGAAGAAGACGTTGGAAGAATATCAGAAACTAGGTGAGTCGACCTGCCGTCTGCCGCCGCGACTACCACGATGAGGGACTGTATAGTTGTCACAATTATAGGGAGAGTGAAGAATGAAGAACGCAATGTTTACAGGAGGTTTCGAGAGCAACCACCGCTGTTTCTCTGAGACAGATCCGCCTTCTCTTCTCACTCGCATGAGCATCATAAACTGACATCTCCACTCCGCCAGACCAAGCCGACGATGCGATGAATCGTTGGAAGCAATCGCTCGGCTTAGGCACCGGCACGCCAATTGGCGACCCAAACGACCCTCGCACATGCATTATCAAATCTCTTGCTCTGGTAAGCCTGTCTCAAGGTGCACCTTCTTCACAGTGACTGACCAGGAGCCAAGGAAGTTGAAGGCCGGCCAGACATAATTATCGATCTCACGCAACCTGGCGCCCTTGAAACCCTCAACAAACACCCATTCACCATCAAGGAAGGATGCAAGTACTGTATGAAGGCCGTGTTCACTGTCCACCACCAGGTTCTCTCTGGTCTCAAGTACATCCAAGTTGTCAAGCGTAAAGGTATCCGCGTGAGTAAGGATCAGGAAATGATTGGCAGCTTTGCGCCCAACACCACCGACAAGCCCACGTATGAAAAGAGGTTCTCCGAAGAAGAGGCTCCTTCCGGCATGCTAGCTCGCGGCCACTACGAGGCAAGTACCAGATTTGCTGATGACGACGACCATACACATCTCGAATTCCACTGGTCATTCGATATTGCCAAGGACTGGAAGTGATTGTGGAGGCCATTTTGAGGCGCTGAACCTTTTTCAGCGTATCCAAGTCTGAACCGAAGCTGCTGTCATGGTCGATATGCCCTTAGGCAGTCAATGAGAGCGATAGGGGCCATGAATTCAACGTGCGGGGTCGAGGTATATTCCTATGCATGATGCATTGAGCTCCAACGACGTCCAACGATTCACATGATCCAAAGATTAGAGAAAGTACTCAATGTGAGAACCTTGACCATCTTTTCCCTGCGTCTGTTGTTGTTGCTGCTGCTGCTGCTCATTTCGATGTATATCGTTCTCCGGGGCAGCATCAAAAATGTTGAAGTAGCGATCACCTGCATCACTGACTTCGAGAACACTGGCCAGGTTTCCACAACGATAGCAATAATTCGGAGCACTCCAAACTGTGCTCAGGCGATCGTCATACAAGACCTGGTACCCTTCCTGACACAGCTGATGGGCACGAAGGATATGAGACATGCTGTTAACCTGCAAGAACTTCTTGACCACATCACCTCCGAAAGTATACCCGGCTCCTCTCGGCGAAAGCGAAAACTCGTCTCGCTCCGGGTCGGGGTCTGACCATACCAAGTCCGCCATGGGTCCTTCATGGGGGATTTCTCGGTATCTATCGATGATTTTGATTTGGTCGATGGAGTGGATGGACGGAGAGAGGCCGCCGTGGACACAAAATATCTGATTGTTGATGACAACACTCAAGGTAAGGAAATCGAACATGTCGGTGAAGTAGTGCCAAACATTGGCATTTCCATACTTTCGTGCGCATTCCGTGTAGAAGCCGTAAGATTGCGTGACGCCTCGTGATTCATGATTGCCGCGAATGAGATGGACGCGCTGGGGGTATCTTAACTTTAAGCAAACAAGAAGAGAAATCGTCTCGACGCTGAATAGACCACGGTCTACGTAGTCACCTGTGCCCGATTAGCGAGGGGACGTTGAACTGCGCGGGCCGAACGCAACTATACCGAGGAAAAGGTAATTGGTATCTGGACAAAAGCCACCGATCTTGAAGATTTCCAGCATGTCAAAGAACTGGCCATGGATGTCACCGACGACGGTGACAGGGGCCGATATGTGGACCACATTGCTCTCCTTCATCAACATCTCCTTTGCTTTTGCGCATATTGCCTCGATTAGGGATTCGGCAAGGAGGTTTTTCTTGTATAGCTGGGCGATGCATTCATCGAGATCAATACTGGCTGCATGGCTTCGTCATCAGCGACATGCTCCTTTTGGGCATCTCAGACCACCTACCAGGTAGACCAGGCATTGCAAAGGGTTGTGCAAACTTGTCAGTGTTGCCGCCACCCGCGAGTCGAGGCGCCGAAGCGTCGCAGCGTCTGCGCTTAAAACAAATTCCTCGAAATGTTGCCAGAGTCACTCAGCGCTGTCATGATGCCCAACTCTGGGGAAATGCTAGCAATGCTGCAGAGAGACAGAAAGGAGGATGCGCGGCATAAGAGTAAAGAGAGGCGAGTGAAAGGAAAACAATAGAAGCTCGTGCTCCAACAAGGCGCAGGACGATGGGATTGTGAAGGTTTGATGTTGGAGGCGACGACGCGGTGCGGCTTTCTAAAAGGGGCAATTGTCCACACCACCAACACCACACTTCGTCACTCCGACTTCACTTCCACCGCTTTCATCGCAACTCATTGTCACCTTGACACATCATCCAATCTTCCACCGCTTTCATTTCCTCCGATCTTTCAATCAAGGGCAACGCGTCTGCTGCTTCACAAAACCCCCAGAGCCTGCAACGAACCGTCGAAGCTCGGTTGCAGACAGTTTCCGCCTCGTTTTAGTAGACAAAGAGCTGATACAGATCTTTGCTTTCGGTTATAGCACCAAATGGCAAGTATTCATCCGCGCAAAGATTGTGGTTCTCCCGCACCCATGGATGCATACTCCGACCATATAGGAAGTCCATAGGTTGTGCCTATTCTCCATTCTCTCTTCTGTGGGACACCCGTCACGCGCTCGCTCTATTCGTGATGGCTCGATTTTCTTCTCCTTCACCTCATATAAACCTTTCTCCCTGGGGGCTATGCGGAGGACCAAGTCCTCCAACCCCTTGATAGAGGCTATTCTTGAAGGAAATGATCAATTACTTGTCCATCACCACACGCTCGGCTCAAGATATAGGCTGTTCCTTACGAATGCGCACCGCCATCGCTACGTCACGCCCTAGCAGATCCTGTTTCTGACACAATCGACTTTACGCGCAATTACTGCTCCATCAGAAACCCTATGCTGAGAGAGGTTCGCCATGAGGAAAGCCACCGCATCCACTACTATGAATAGCTCCGGCCGCCAGCAACCCGGCTATAACATATAAGTGAAGTCGGAAGTCTCTTGGTCGAGTGAACATGTTGAAACCCCTCTCCATCAGCGCTCCCCAATGGAACAAAACAGGTCCAAACGCGGGATATTACAACATGCACTTTCAACCAGAAGCCAGATGCGATCAATGCTACGAGCAGTTCAGCAGCTCGCGTTCTGGAGCTCAATTGCAATACAGTAATCCTGCTCATCCCGATTTGCCGAACAGTTCAAGGCCTCACGGTCCCTCTGGAGGGCCATCATATTCCACATCTCCTTCTCAGCCTCCATCTCACTTACGCCATCCCATTTCTTCCTTTCTGGTTCCCGAGCCAACATCGTCGCCAATCAATCCATCTCAGAGCGCAAGTTACGGCCACGAACAACCCGTATATGCGCAGTTGTCGCACAACTCATGTCAAGACCTTCCGCCATCGTCTCATTTCAGATCGGATACCCTCGGGGGATTGTTTAGCAATGGCATTGCAGACTGTCACGCGAAAGACGAGCCGCAAGCACTCGGATATCCATATGATTACGGTCTTCTGGCCGCACAACGGTTCTCGCCAGTTCAGAGAAGGATACAAGCCTTTGGGGCGACCATGGGTGAAAACGACTGCATAAAGTCACATCAACCTGTCATTATTTCGAAGTCTTTTCGCAATACCAAAGACACCACATTCTTTAAATCCGTGCGCGAGACTAGACATTAGTATTTCGTCAAAGATGATCCAGCCTTCGCAGATATAGCTAATCACGGAGCTACAGTGGCATTTGAGGAACTTCGTCAGCGAAAAGAGGCCATCACTTCAAGCCACAGCATCGACAAAGCTTATCAGTACCATCGGTATTCGTCAACAACTGACGATCAGCATAGTTACCAACATTCCCCATTACAGCAAATGAACGAGATAGGCCTCTCTGTCGAGCAGGAAGAGCGCATAGCTGCCCTTGGAGTGATTGGTGATGCAAAACTCGTGGAGCCCCACGTTCCCAAAGAAAACACAGTCGAACAAGGTCGCGGTCACCCAACGCGATGAGCCGGCGGAATGAAGGCCAGAGCTACCGCCAGCGACTATATGGCCAGAGAGGTCGAGTAGAGCAATCGGGGAGTCTAGAAGAAGATCAAGATCCGAGAGGCCGCAACTTTGAAAATCTCAGAGTGGTGATGGGCAGGGAGATTGCGAGAAATGGTGAGATGAAATTCCGGCGGGGTGGTCAGGAGAACCAGAACATTTGTAAAGGGTGCAAGAGGAAGGGAAGGAACAAGCAACAAGCAACAGCACATCAACAATCCGCCGAAGAATTTCAATGAGACTCAACATCAACCAGACTCGAGCTCCCAGTCCCCAATGGCCTCAACGAAGCAGGCTATGCCCAGAAGTATTATCTCATTTCTCCCCAACTTCATTTCCGACGGCCAACACGCCGATAGCGACCCAAGTGAGCGCTGAGCGGTGGAATAAACGCAAAGAGCATTCCGTAGCCGCAACAAAGTGTTAGTAAGCTGTGGCATAACGATTCGGGACACGACGATGGCTGGCAGACGAGAATCGGAGCCTTTATTGTTTTTTTCTTGACCTAGGTGTCTGAAATTCAACAAACCGCGACTGCAGAGGACAAAGATCACTCTGGTCATCGAGCAGTACTGACAGGCTTGGGGGTTCGCTCCCCCGAGACTTCTACTCGTGCTTTTGGGAGATTGGGACATCATCCAGGGATGCACAATGGGCGTTGGAAACAAGATAGGCGAACACAAGTACGAGCTGCTCCTTTCAAATTCCAAGTTCTATGCCCTCTCTAGTAGAAACCTTGTTCCTCTTTCAGCTCCATTCAACGATGTAGGTCTATATTTTGGATTCTGTACAAGTGGCGTAATGTTTCTTCCTGTGGACGGCAACCCATATTTCCAGAGCGCCGCTGCCAGGCTGCTAGAATTCAAACATAGTTCCTGGCCCTGGAAGTGTGCTCGAGTTAGATGAACACCCTCAACTTCTTATCTTGATGCAAGTTCGTGATGGGGGGAGAAGCCGTTATTCATGTTGATCTTCTATGCATGACCATCGCAGAAGCCTACAATCATATTTGTCAGTACCTTGTATGCCCAAAAGCAAATGCTTTTGAAAACATCTCGCAACACTGCAGAACAAAATACATCTCGCCAACAGAAGCTCAAAAACAAAAGCAAAAAGTCGGGGTATTCGGGTAAAACCTGACCTGATGGTTCGGAAAGATCAAGGAATCCGCAAGCACGACATTCTCCCTCCTTCCAGCAGCAAACACAACAATCTCGGCGATGTCGTCTGGTGTCAGGGGCTCCACGCCCTTGTAAACGGCATCGGCTTTGGCTTTGTCACCGTAGAAGCGGACGATGGAAAATTCCTATAAGCCACACACCAGTCCAAATTGGACTCATGTCAACAGAGTTCTCTGAAGGCATAGGGGGGGTTCAAAGAAGGAAAAGGTGCGACGTACGGTCTCGACCTGCCCCGGATCCACCTCGATCACTCTTATGCGGCTAGCAATCAACTCCTTCCTCAATGCTTCTGTGAACGTCCTCACTGCCGCCTTGGTAGCACAGTAGATACTTCCACCAGGGTAACCCTCTCTTCCCGCAATAGAGCCGATCATAATGACGTCTCCTCTGCCTCCGACGTCTTCTCCGTTATCTCCCTTTTTGGATTTCATTATGGGCAAGATGGCTTGTGTCATATTGATGAGACCAGTCACGTTCGTGGCGAACATGATCTCCATGTCTTCGGCTTTGATTTCGGGCGCTTTATCCATGCCCTTGACCAAACCCGCATTATTTACCAAGACGTCAATGCTTCTGAACTCCTCGGGCAGATTTTCCACGAAACTGCTGACCTCCTCCGGTTTTGAAATGTCCAACTTCACAGGTAAGACTTTTACGCCATCGCCAACTTCCTTGTTAATATCGGCGGCGATTTCCTTGAGCGTGTCGACCCGGCGGGCAGTGATGACGATCTTGAGATTTTGCGGGGATGTGCGTGCAAATTCCTGGGCGACGCTGCGGCCGATACCGGAAGAGGCGCCGGTGACAAGGATGGTTTTGCCCGAGAGGCGTTTGCCCATGGCGGAGGAGGAAGACATCTTGCGTAACGTTTGTAGGGAGACTTTGTACTGTAGTCGTGAGAAGGAGGGCGAGATGAGGCGGTGCGGGGAAGGTGTTGTCAAAGGGATGCGCGCAACAGCAGGGGGGAAGCTGCGTGTAAGAGCTGTAAGGTTTGAAGGAAGATAGGAAGGCATATACAGAGAGAGCTGGGAGAGATGTGTAAGACTAAGCGTGTCAGCGAAGGGAACTGTAGGGAGTAGAAATCAAGGACAGAGATCCATCAGGACCGTGAGGTGAGAACTGCGGAGTTGTGACCGAGGGAGAAACACCAATTCAGTTTGTATGGAGGACACCAGGCTGCATCGGCAAAAAGGCGATCAACGGCCATAAAGCGGCACAAGAGCCGGCAGCCTTGCACGAGAATTGGACTTGCTCGCTACGTGTCGATCTGCTCTATACGAACTGCCGCGTTTGAGAGACAGAGAAAAAGAACAAAGCCACCCATATCCAATCCACGGAAATGGCCATCTGTACTCCGTATTTATCCTCCGCAGGTCCATCATCTCGACCACAGCTTGTTCATGCTTGGTCATGCACCTCCCAACTCCCCTCTTCGGCAAAACCACGAGACGCCGCGAGTCTTGGGGGGAAGAAAAGAGCCTTCGGCCCTCACAAGCACAAAAGAATCCCCAATGCAGACAGATTTCCATACTCACAAGCATGCAGACCTTCGTTAACTTGACGTGGGCGCCTATCTCCTTATTCAAATCCAATCCTAGATGTCTCCATCGTAACACCATATGCTTACGATCATTATACTCAGGCCCTGCACCAATTGATTTCATGTCTTAGAGTGTTCAAGTGGTGGGAAGCAGGACGCAGGGCGAGCGTAGCCCTCCACCAATGTACGCCAATCTGTGCTGCATTGAGCGATAATGACCTCTCTTGTGGAGCTGAGCTGTATCGTCCCGAAGGAGGCATACTTTTGTTCCGGACAAAAGTAAATTGGAACGGCACAGTGGCCCATTGTGTGCTTCCAGTTCACAGAAATCCCGATTCGGACAGGAGTCGGGCAATTTTCTCTTCTTCTCGCTCGCGTGGTTCGACCTTGAGACTCTGAGCGAACATGTCGTCATGCGAGTCTCCGGCGTTTCTCATGTTCTCCGAAATCCACTCCTGCAATTCGGGAACCGGATGGAGACTATAAGGCACATTCTGATACTGCTGAATATCTCGAATGACTTCGGCAGTTTTGGTCCGTTTGGCGAAATTAATCAACTCTGTATTCTTGGCAAGTGAAGGAATCCCATCTTCAATGAAGGTCAAATCGGTCAAGTAAACACCCAAAAAAGGGATGCAAGGTGGGTTCGCCTGACGCAGTGTTTCGCGATATAGAGCAAAGTTCTTGGAAGATGCTATCAAATTCCGCATCGACTCGAGGATCGCATTGGTCTTAGGGTTGACTCCTTGCCAGGTTCGATTGAGCCGGACTATATGGGCCGTGCCGAGCGCTGAAATGATTGCCGTCACAGCCGAGAAATTGTTCAAGACGCGACATTGCTGTGTGGCACATTAGTACCTGTACAAAATCGCAACACGCGCAGCACAACTCACTTCAGCAATCAGCACAAAATGTTTGATGATGACCACTCTTTTCTTCACCTCTGCTTGCCCCAAAATCATGGCAGAAACCCAGTTGGTCAACTGGTTTGAATGAAAGATGAGAGCTTGCACGTTTGGAGCAGTGTCATGGCTGTCAGACTTGCTCTTCCTCTCCCATGTTTTCGCGAGACATTCTACAGGCTTGATCTTGCCATATAGTTTCGATTCAATGATGGTCAGTTGCCTCGCAAACTCTTTGGGATCAATATCCAGAAATTTGAGCTTCTTCATGTTCTTGGGCAAAATAGGAGCAGGGGCAGAATTGGTGAGAGTCAGCACCAGCTTCTTTGACAAAGCTTCTCCTCCTTTCAACCGCTGGTCAATGATTGACGTCAGAGCCTTAGCCAGCGGGATCTTTGTCGTGGTGTATGTACTCTTTGCAAAGGCCAGCATTCGCTCAAGCAATGCTTGACTATTGCCATCGTCGGTCTCCATCCAATACTGTTCAAGCCACGATTTGAGGATGTTCAGCACTCTAAATCTAGCTGGTTTTTGCTTGTGTTCTTCCCAGATGGAATATTCATCTCGACTTAGGCCTGCAGGCGGCTGCAGGTTGAACCGCCTTACCAAAAGTTCAAATAGCTCCGAAGCCGACGTGAACGAACGATAGGTGAGCAAGAAGGTCGTTGTAAAGGTCGTATCCACCCGATCATGACGGGTAAGCTGTTCGACAAGTGCAGTAAGCGAGCCGCTTTTGACTTGAGGAGGGTCGTTTTTGGTATCATAAGTCACTTCGTTTGCGTGGTCAAGTTGTAAATACCACGGCACTTCATCCGCAGGGAAGCTTGGTTCAATATTTGTTTTGACAGGGTTCAAATCTGGCGGTATCTGTCCGAAAAATTGCCTCGCCTTGTCCTTGGTCGGTGGTCGGCGCAGCTTTTCAGCCATCGGATCTTCACCAAGCGTGTATGACTTTGACTGACCAAGATCCGCCAAGGCAGGCCGCAGATTAGTACCATGTTTTGAATCAGATCGAAGGTGGTGATTCTGATAGGTTTCACCTCCGTCTGTCACACGATGCTCCCGCTTGTTAGTAGTGATAGCTGGGGCTAGGCCGGTAGCAGGAAGCAATAGCTCTAATGCATAGCCAACATTGGATACATGAGTTTCAAGCTGTTGGCAAGCACTTCGAACGTTGTTGATTCGAGTATCCAGCGATTCGCCACGCACTTCGGCCCATTCGTCCGGAAGCGGCGTGGTGACAGTCTGGCAAGTTGCGACCAATTCACCAATCGAGTCATAGGCCTTTTGTTTCTGAGATCCAAAATCCACCAGCGATGGTTTCTGGAACACATTTCCCAGCGCAGAGAGATCGATAGATTCGACGTGGGAGATCCAAGGTCGAAATTGTTCGAGAACCAAGCCTGTCCCTTGACAGATTGCATCTCCGATGGCAGATTGCCGCGCAGGAGTGACGATCTTCTCGGAGAGCACCAGGGCCTCCTCCAGACGACGGATTGCAGCAGACAAGGTCTTTTTGCAATCTTCGATACGCCGAAGGAGATTTGCGTCGAGTGGTTCGGATGGCCGCGAGTCAATCTCATCGTTGGAATCCATAAACGAGACTTCATCCAAGTTTGTTTGGCTTTCGATATTGTTGTCTCGCCAGCTCCCTCCGACAGTACTGCCCAAGATAAAACCAGGGACCAACCGTGGAATCTCTTCTCCTCTCTGCTGCCGGGCCACCTCCACATAACCGTACACTCCGTTCATCACCCCATCGGCTTCTTGCAGACATTTTGTCAGTGCGTCTGGTCCTGGCCAGTCGGCGGCAGCGATATGCGAAGACAGGACGAGCTTTGAGAACTTGGACATCATCTCCCGAAAGTGGGGATACAGAGCCTTGTTTGATGAGATTATGGAAGGATTGCCCGAGTGATTGTCCGTTGTTCCTGAGCCTGCGGCAAGCAGCATGCGAAGATGATCTGAGATGTCCTCTGCCCTTCGAAGGTAGTCTGCCCGCGCACGGCCGCGAATCGCACGACGATACGCTTCAATGGCAGTCCGCATGTTCTCTACCAAAGTGTTCCATGTGACGGCAGCGACACCAGCATCATCGAAGAAAAATCGGGGTGTGGGTGATTTTGACAGTTTCGGCGGCAGCCCTACAGCAAATGAAGTCGAGCTGGTCCCAAGAGGAGGCAGCGCCATTGAGATGTCGGTGTGAGATCCAAAGGTGGTGGTAAAAGGATTGTTTGCTTGGTTCCCAAATTGTCTGGCTGAGCTAACGTTGATAGAATCCATGGAGGTTGAGGTTGAGATACTGCCAGAAGTCATGGAACCGGACCCTTTCTTGCGTGAAGACAGGAACGATTGTTCGCCATCAGCCTCAGAGGCAGACCCATCATAGTCTTCTTCATCCTGCGCATAACCCCCTGCCATCATCTCCGGCGGCGGTCTTGTTTGTTCTGGTACATGAAAATTGTTTCGATCGCGAGGTCCGCTTTCGTCTGAACTTGCTGGCGTTTCCAACGGCAATTCCATTGTACTGACCCCGGTCAGGGTGTTGAAGTAGTACAACCGACCATCCGAGGTCGCCTGAGGGACCCAAAATGCCGCTTCTTCTTGAGCCTGGGAGTGGCCACCTTCAATCGGCAAGTCCGAGTCCTCAGACTGAGTGTGAGCGTCTGAATCTTCCTCCTCTTCATCATAATCTTCCTCAGTGCCTGACCCGGTTTCACTCTCATCATGGCCTCCTATACCCGCTTCACTCAGCTCGTCCAAATTTGTGATCTCGGCGGTATAATTGCTAGGGAACCAGCCCCGAACGTCGTTAATGACGCCATCCCACCACCCACTCTCTAATTGAGTCAATACCTGGATTATATCTCCTTGGCGAAAGCTCAGGCTTGTGTGGTCATCGGCTTCATAGTTATACAGGGCACGGACAAATATGGGTGGAGGAGGTGGAGGAAGGTCTGTGCTGGCGACATAGCTGTTCATAGCAGCCTGCTGAGCACGACGGCGCGGCGAAAGGCCGCTCATGCCCGCGTGGTGAACGCTTGATGATCTCGAACGGGACGCGGAGTGGGAAGGTCGACTAGGTTCTGTATATTGGAAAGCAGCAGCAAGGACAGACCCGGACTTGGCTGAAGCACCCTGCGACGTAGAATCTTGTGTCCCTCTGCGCGACGCTGACATTTCACCGTTGGTTCACCGGCTCTCGAGGAGGGTCTGAAGCGCTAAATGAAGCCTTTCAGAGCGCAGCAAGGCAGGCGGGCTCTGCATATTCAAAGATGCAGGCAGAACGTGGGCGAGCGAACAGAAGGCTAGGCAGTCGTGGGCGGAAGAATCTAGAGGGCGGTAATGGCGACAGTCTTGTCACACATGAGACTACCTCGATGGCGGAGAAGACGGTCGTTCTGCGGTTGGCAGA